CATGACAACATATTCCAGGTGTTCTGGGTTCTTCATGTCATGTCATGGGTTCTTCATATTTCTCCCAAGTTCTGCAGCAGGGTGTTAACAACCATTCTTCAGGGTGAAGAACTCATGTCATTGACAGATTAGTTCATCGGTTCTCACATTCTTGTCTTCTCACTGAGAGGGAGCTAGGCCATATATAAACATCCTTCAAAAAACCATGTCCAAAACCCATTGGCCGTAGACGAACCACTGGCACCACCCCACCGCCCATGATGTCCGCCACACCAACCCCCATGATGTCCGCCTTTTCGAGGTCGCAACCGCTTCTCGCGCTTCACGGCGGGACCACTGGAGGCGAGGGGGACGAACCGAGAGGATGCGCCCCAGGCTGTATAGGGCACTAGACCTACGGCGTCCATGGATGTCCATGGTCTTCTAGTTGGAAGTTCAGTGGCTAGTTCTTAGATAGGGTGCTACACATGGCCATGGTTACGGTTTGGATCAATTTGTCAGGCAAGCTGACGGATCAGAAGTCAAGGAATTGCACGTGCACTGGCGATTAGCAACATCTGGCCAACATGGAATAGAGACAGTGGGCGTTCCACATGTATTTGTCCATACCGAGATCAGACACTTGTGGAAGGCTCGCACGGTCCACTCGCACGTTCGACACGCACGATACAGATCGAGCGACACTTCGTCTGTCCAAGCAGCTCGAGCGCAACCAGCGCGAAAGAACGTGTCGTCATACATGTCAAAGCAAGTATTCTGACATCAAATATTTGATATCAAATCCAACATATGTTATTTACTATCAAAGGTATTCAGACATCAACAGGACATCAACCAATTTGGTCGAATCTGGACGGTGTCGTCGCGACGCACTCAGGACCTGCTCGAGAAGAACTCGTCCTTGCTGCTCGGAGAGAGAGAAGTCGTCTCCGTTGGAACTGCTCGGGGTGACGGGTGGGGCACGTCCTTTATCCTCTAAGAAAGCACCAAAAAGCCCTTGTGACTCTAGTAGGTCAGGTGATGTTTTTTTCCTGTTTTTTTGTATTAATTGCTTGTTTAAATCATCGTTTAAAAAGGAAAGGAAGGTAATCCTCGTTACATGTTGTAGGGAATTGATATTGAGCAACAAGGAATGTTGATGCTGCTTCATCAGTCGAAAAAGGCAGCCATTTGCCAAAGGTGGCAGTGCCCACTGCGATGTGGCTCTTGCTGTTGCGGCCCGGTAGTGCGCACTGCGATCTTGCGCTTTCTGGGGAGGTCTGGGAATATCCATTACAGTCTGGAGCTTGCCTTGAGGTCCGGCAGTGCCCACAACTATCTGGCACGTGCTATTTGGCCATCTGCTGTGGGATCTGGTAGTGCCCACTGCGATTTGGAGCTAGCAGTTGAGGACGTCAAGGCGAGGAGACAAAAACCAAAACAGCAAAGGCCGGGATCCTATGTTAAATCCGACAATCCTCACCCAACAGGAACGGAAAAATGAAAGGACGTGAAATTAGTGGCCAGCTGTGCCATTGATCGAAGGGGCAAGAAAAATAAGAAAACAAATTGGCACCCAACCCCAATCATCAAAAAAGTTGCCTCTACCGAAGGGAATCTTCATTTCGTCCATCCAATGTCCAGGATTCAATTGTCTTGATGTTCTTCTCCAAGATTCAACTACCGTGCTTTGGTTCGTGCGCACGCAGCCAGGACGAAGGGTTGTGAGCATCCATGCGTCGTACACGGTGAAAACATCTGCTTTGAAGCGGTGATGGTGAGTGGGAGACAGGTGTGCAAGTTGTGAAGAAGGACGACGTGATCAGGACTTCCCAAATCAAAGCAGCATTGTTGGATAAGTCGACCAGGCATCTTCCACATCAGTTCCGTCACTACGCAAGGCTGTGCATGATCATTTCCAAGAACAAGGGGATTGCACATGACATGAGCACTTTGTTCATTCGTGAACCCAAACAAAAGCAACCGGCTGGCGAACACATCAAGCAGCTTTCTCATCACCTGCCAACGAAAGAAAATGCTGTTTTCTCCTTGCACCACTTGCCATATTTCTAGGAATCTGCGACCAAAAGAGCCATACCCTTGGCTATCCATGGTGATTCTGTCCCCACTGTTGGCCAAACTCACCCAAACCATATCCTTCACTGGACAGCTCAGCAGCTCTACAAAGCAAAGGAGTTTCTTTGTTTGGGCTGTTCACGGGGCTTGGGACAGGCGGGAAGCACAAGCGGACAGCGCTTCGGGCTTGAGACGGTGAGTTCCAACCCCCGAAAGGTTGAACGGGAACCCTTAGGCCTCGGCCTTCGGGAAGAAGAAAAAGCAACAAGGAAGGTGTCTGATGCTTAGAGAGCCAGAACATTTTTTGATGAAACGAGGGTCACAAACATATATCCTCTTAAATCCTTTTAACATGTCCTCAAAAAGGAACAAAGCAGTCACAGTGAAAATTGGAAGACCAGGAACGACATGTTGAAGTCAATCACTGCCATGTTTCCACCTCAGGTTTTACGGAGATGTTTCTTGACTCTTGCCTTGAAGTCCTCAAAATTCTGCCATAAAATCTTCATTAACTTCACAGTTGAAGGTAGCAGGGGTGAGGATAAATGGATTTCCCGGGGTGTTCATGCTGTTTGGTCTCAAAGACGGTCCAGTCAGGCTATGAAACTGGGCTTACTCATGCATGGTCCATTTGTTTCTCCGGGAAATTCCGCTACAATTCCGGAAGTTTCCGCTATTTGTTCCCTGGGAGTTGTTGTCAAAGTAGCAATTCCACATGTCTAATTAAGATCGAGTCCCCAAGCGGCTATATGAGCATACTCATGACATGATGCGCTTCGAACGTATGAAGGACCCCCCCAAACACATCAAATAAAGATAAATAAAGAAACAAAGTACCCGGCGCACTGCCCCCCCAAAATGAAAAAAATTGTCAATTGTTCCCTTTTTTGGCGTACTTTCGAAGCGCTAGGTATGAAAATGTTCCAGTCCAGTTGACTTCCAAGCTCTCATAGGCCTGCAGCAAGGGAGGTTTTTTCCCTTCTTGGTACCCAGAAAGGATTTCTCGAACAGTCCTGAGCCAATCGGAGCTCAAACTGCAGAGCAAAATCCTAATTTGGGAGAAGGGAGATCGGGATGTTTCACCCCAAAACTGAGCTGGACAACTGCGAATTCAAGTCTTTTCGTTGCCGTTTGCCTTTTTCAGGGCCACATGGACAATCCCTGACGAACTCCTCACTGAAGAGAGACTCTTCCCTCTTTTTTTTCACTACCAACCGCCTGAGGCAGCGCTTGAGCTTGTCGGCCTGTACCCTGGGTGTGCCCGGGGCGCAGGGCCTGGGCCGAGGATTGGCATCTTGCCTGCATGGTGCTGGGAATGCGCCGCAGCACGCAGTTGAGGTTTACGTGTTTTTTGTGTGTTTTTGTGTTTTTAATGGTTGGTTTATGATTTATAGACCACCCCGACCATCATGTCTTTACCAGCAACCATTCTTTGGGGTGAAACAGAGACGGCGGGCGGGCGTTTCAATAGGTGAACCCTCCCGAGTCTGCAGTTGTTGAATGAGCTCCGCGCATCAGCGAGATCTGATGCCGCTTACCGCGATCGCGCCGACCGTGAAAAATACAAGGGGAGGATGAGGATAATTACTTCAGGGATACTCATACCTCTTCATCTTTGGAATTAGCAGATAATCCATTCTTCCAGAAGTTGATCAATCCAGTGGTTGATTGACAGCTTTCATTTGGTCAATGTTGTTGTTGCTCGCTAGGTGACTTTCATTTGCCGGCAATACATGGAAGCAGTGTGTGATTCGTCATGATCCATTTTACCTACGTTTTGAGAGGTCGACCTGCAAGCTAACTTCTAGCCATCAAGCATCCATTGGACCCTTCAGAGAGTCGTATAAATGATCTTGAAACTGTATTCGTCGTGGTTCATCTTGCCTGGATTGTTTTGAGGCAGAAGGTTTTATAAATATCTTGAAGCTCTTGGAAGGGTTTGTAATCCAAAAGGAAGCAATCAACGGGCTAAGCCCATGAAACTCGTACAGAGGCAACATGTTCTCGAGTTGACGCAGTTGGTTGCAGTTCTTTGCAAATGATATGGATTGTGGGCCAGGGTTGATCTGCAGGACTCTGAGGATCTTTGGCATGCCCACTTCATCAAAAACAGGAATCGTGGAATAGCCTTACATTGATCCCCATGCACAAGGCCAATATTCCCATCATGAAGTGTTTGTAATAGCTTCTCCAGGTAATTAAGAGGTCTAATGACTCTTGGGGGGATGGCTCATGGCTCACCCAGATGCATCACCCAGATGCCTTCGGGCCTTGCTTTAAGCTGAGGTGGCCAACCACAGCTTGCTCTACCTGGACTGGGCTCGGAGTGGAGTGGAGAGGATTGTTTTCGAGTGTCCCGACTCAAACGTGAAGCTTTTGGTAGTCATTTTAAGCTGTTGCTTCTGTCACTATGAGGGGAACTATCAGCCTTGACAGTACGCTGTCTTAAATCCGTCGATCTTCCAGCTCTCAAGCAGCACTCGCCGTGCTTCACCGTGCTTCACCCCTGCCCCTTTTGTTGCAAGTCCAATCTTCACGGTCCAATGCCTGTTTGTAATTGGAACTGTGTCCCTCCGGCACCACGGACGGTGCCACTCACTGGTGCCCGGCCTCTAGCGCGACCGAACCGGGACGTCGAGTCCAGCGGCGAAGGCCCAGGGGTCGGCCAGGCCGAGTCGTGGCCGAGTCGCGGGTAGTGCCGCGCTGGTTTACGGCCCGGGCTTGGGTTGTGCGCCAAGAGTTTGTTTAGATTGAGGTACAGGGAATTTGGATGGTTTTTTTTTTCTGTACAGGGTTTGGATGAGGTGGGACCTCAATTTTTTCCTCAGTGTGAAACGGGTGCTTCATGTGATGTCCAGTCGCATGTTTGCACCGCAATGGCTGCAGTCTGATGGCACAAGTTCCTTCCCGAAGAGCCCTGAACAGGGGCGAAAGCTCGAAGTAGTACCAAACGTGCGGCGCCGGGCTGGCTTGATACACCCCTAGTAACTCGCTTCCGGCGACTGGAAGGTGCGGGCTGGGAGGAGACTATGCTCGGGATTGTTCTGTGCCAAATTTAAATGCGGGAGAAATGGGTTGGCGTCATCCAGACGGCTAGAAACAAGCCTCCGTCATCCAGACATGGCACACTTGCTCTTCCTCCACCCACCTACAGACAGTGCAGATAGCCACAATCCGTCCAAAAAAAAGAGTTCTGAGCTGCAATGGTACCAAAGCCAACGCAGATGTAACAGATTTGGTTGGACTCATTGTTTGTTAAGTGTCAATCCTTTCAGTCAGATATCTTCGCTGGAAACGACGGTGTGTGCTTTGCTTCGAAAGCAGATCGCGCGTAAGCTGCGACTGTGGCTTGCTGTGTGTGCGTAGAAGCCCCGTGTTGCAAGAACTGCATGCGTAATCTGCCATTGTGCTCGCACAAAGGTGTGCGCAAGCAGTGGCGGCAGAAAGATCTAGCGACTGAAACACCTCAGGCCGCACAACATTTCGACTGGAATGAACGCACCGACTGGACTCCACGATTGGGGTGTTCAGCGTGTAGTAACCTGGGTACCAAACAGTGACGGTCAGACATGCAATATAAACCATGAACGTGCCACATGTGGTCACTGGTCCCATATTGAAATTGCGGTTTACAGTGCAAATACTGTAGGCTCTTGATTAATAGACCCCCCAATTGAATATCAAAATCCTCTTCATCTGGGGGGGCTTATAATCAAGATATAAAGATTTCCCACATGAACGTGCCTTTTCGGTCCCTGTTGGAACGACCATATAGGACCACGTGATTTCGCGTGCCACAACGAGCGATTCTGAAAGTGATCAAAGTATCTACCTCATGGGGTCATTGGACTTGGACCCAAGTGTTGGAGGGCCCGGACTTTTTAGGGTGGGTCTTTATCTTATGCGGATCTATGGGCAGTTGTGCTATCCAATATGAGATCCTTCCACGTATGCTTCAGCTCGCTGCCTGTGCGAACCTGCAGCACGTCCGCTTACTTCAGCTCGTCGCAGGACATCAGTCAGAACGATCTCGGGGACCGAGGCGCCTTCTGCATGGCAGCGGTGCTGAAGGACCGGGGTCTCTCGAACGGTCGAGTGGGGCGACCGCCTCGCTCGGTGGCTGCAGAGGGTTCCCAGCAAAGCGGACTCGTGGTCCACCAATGGTTGAATGGTCTGAAGATCCAAGGGCCCCATTGTTTTACAAAGGTTCACATGCTGGTGATGCTGCGGACAGCAGTCGTGTCGACATGAGTGGCGGTTTTTTTGGTGGTGAATTTTTCACGTAAGTATATAGAGTCAACATAGGATGAAGTAACCACCCCCTAATTATTGACCTTGTTGACCTTGAAGGGGGGGGTTGGTGTTGGCCCGTTAATCCTACGTCGACATGATAGAGTCATGTGTAATATATACCCCAGACTTCCAAGACCATTACAAGAATGGGAGCCACCAGGTTTCGTAGTGCAAAACATCTTATATAAAAACACTGGTGCTTCGGTAAAGCTCCCGCTATATGAATGGTGCTTGGAAGCGTATCATGTTACTTGGCATGAAGTGGAGGCTGGAGCCCGACTGGAGGTCTTCGGAGTTCCGCTGTCCAAGTCCGAGTCCGCGGGGTCCGTCGAGGTCAAGTCTCTTGGGCGAACAGCGAACAGCTGGTGGGACGGAGGGCTGGTTCAAGTCTCTGAGTTGTCCGGGCAGAAACTAAGGGAGTCAGGTTTTGACGTCAGGTCCGGACGTCAAACACGTCGGACGGCAAGCGACTGGTAAAGCGATTGCATGGGCTGAATCCCCGGTGAAGAAACGCACCGTGAAGTGGGTTGGTGGTGTAGAAATGCACCGTTGGCATTTTGGAGATCGCGAACTCTGCACCCCCGCAACAATCGCCTGCAGATCCAGCTGATTCTTGATGGTACATCGCCTGGCATGAAGGGAAGTGTGTTGTTTGAATAATTTTCCCGTTTCCTGCACCACAAATTCAAGACAAGCAGGCAAACCTTTAGGCCAACAAGCTTTGGCAGAACGGGTTCATGAAGGTCACACGTTGACATCCATCTGACTGATCTTCCGTTGGCGCCCAACATGTTTGCCCAAGATGTTGAGGTTTGATGGCATAAAACATCATAAAACTAGCACACATGGTCTTCGGCTGAACCCGGTGTGACTGGTCGACCGCGTCCGTTCCTCGTGGTCCGTCGTCCGTTCTGCGAAACGGGTTTCCTCTCTTCAACCCCCCAGCCACCTGCCACCTGACAAGGGGATGAGAGCAGTGTTGGCCGCTCCTTCAAAGAAATTCGCAGGGAGTTTTATTTTGCAGCATGTTTCAGATTCTTTCTGCGCCGAGGGAGGGGCCGAATTGGGCACCGAGGGGGCGCTTTCGCCCCTTCGCCGTGATCTTCAGGAGTGCCACTTGGAGGAGCTGAATCTCTCGGACAATCGGATCGGTGCCGGGCTCGGACACGGCGTGGGAAACAGCAACGATGATACGAGAGAGGCTGGGGTTGGGCGGAACATGAAAGAAAACCGGGTTGACAACCGTGGGTTTGTGGATGAATAGACATAGGCATGTTCAGCTTTGCACAGTACGTTGCTTGTTTGCTTGAGGAGCCAGTCATCCTTTACAACTTTAGAGTCGGATGGTGCAATCCATCACAAGATGGTCGTTTTGTACTGCAGGGCATTATTCGGAGCGCACAACGGTATACATCCCTGAACATTAGGAGGAGCAATTATAATGGGATGTTCTAAGCATCCCGCAACCTCCCGAAAACCAACCAATAGAGTTGGTGTCTTCAAGCTGTAGCCAATAGCTCACCCGAAAGAACAATTATATTTCATTCCGGTCCCAAAAAGAAAGATCCCATACAGCATTTATATACCTCCTCTAAATCTTTCCCACACCGTCCCACCATCCCGACCTCCGTCGCTTTTGCTGCCCGCCACCGCTGAGCGACCCCATCGCGGCGCTCAGGGGACGAAGGCTTCATCAGCCTCGCCTGCAGCTTGGGCTCGTTGCCCAACAAGGCGGATGGCAGCCATCCGGTGTGCGGGGTCCCAGCTACGCAATCGATCTGGCGTGATCTTGGAGCTAGGAGCGGTGTGAATCACCGCGGAGGGGAGCGAGGGAGGAGCTAGGCAATTCGAAGGAAATGAAGATATTAGTTTTGGTTGTGTTTTATGTTTTAAAGCACGAACGGAAATTCCCGAATGTTTGGCCCCGACTTCAGCTGCTGCTTTGGTTTGCCGAGCTCCCAGGATTCGATTGGATTGCTCAGCATTGGAGATGTCACTATACCCGAGTTGGGTAGCAGCTGCTTCCATTGATGAAGACATCATTCTGAGATGTGTCAATTTGGACGTTGCAGGATGGAGGTCTTCTTTCTTTCTGCCTGACATTGTGCTCATGTACACAGCTCAAAGCTCTCTATGCTCTTATGATCTCTTATGCATAGTGAAACAGAGCGTGTATCCGTTGGCATATCAAACGATGCTGTACATCTACTCTCTTTGACACTCTTCAATGGTCCACAAGGTTTGGAGCAGCTGCTCCATATTTGCATGACTCGTTGTCCTCCCCTTCGAACACTTGTTCCCCGGTTGTTCCCTTGGGCCATCAGAAACGTCCTTCGGACCATCCACAGGTCTCTCACAGCGTCGGTCCGACCCCTGCGGTTGGCGGTGCTAAAAGGGCCCCTTCTTCGGAGTCAGTCCAGGTCAGCGGAGGTTTCCGGTGTCGAGACCCAGCCCGCCCTGTCGGAGGTGGTTCCTTATCTTTTGCTCGCATCGAGGTGGAAGAAGTGGCACTTGACGTGCTTGAAGCCAACCATGATTTGCAGCGGTTTGGAACTGTCGGCTTGCAACCAGGTCCCATCATCATCCATAAAGGGCCCTGGTATTAGGATAGACCCAAGATGTTACAACAAGATCCTTCCCTACAAGTCACTCAGTTCGCTGAGCTGTTCCCAGGGGGACACCCTGGAACATGCTGTTTTTCCACACCAAATCGCCTGCGAAGGAAGCACCTGCGATTTCACAGGTTGTTCCAAGCCAAGACAACGGTTGGGGGAGTCAAAGAGCAATCAAGGAGTCCAGTCCACTTGAATGTGGCTCCAAGAATGTTCCACGTCAAGAACCCCCACAGGTAGTAACTATCAGGTCATGTGCTCCTTTGTCCCATGAACCTTCAGACAGAAACCTCCAGATCTCAAGGGACTTCCAATTTGTTGGAGCCCCAAGAGGTACTTGTTCCTTCCATATGTCTTCGTTTCTTGGTTTGTGCGCCCCCACACCCCAGTTCTTCCTCCCCCAGCAGGTGGTCGCGAGCGATGAAGAGCTCCGAGGCATGGAGGGCGGGGGGGCGCTCGGCAGGCGCCAACGGGTTGGGCGCCGAGCTCGAAGTGATGGAAGTGTTTCAGAGCCATGTTCTTCGGGTTGGTGGCCCTGAAGATGGCAGGGCTGAGGTGAACCACCTGGGGTTCCTGTGGGTTATTTGGCCCTCCTTGGGTTGGTGGCCCTGAAGATGGCCTGTTAGCCTTTTAGCCTGATCATCCCTGAAGACGATCGAAGCACTTCTTCCCTGTCAGGATCTGGCTTTCCAAAGATCCACTTGAAATCTGGACGGATTTGGACAGCAAAGGAATCCCAAACGATGAATATGACCTACATTCACCACCCAAAACCGCCAAATGTAGCGATATTTGATGATATTTGCTTGCATAGATCTGGGAATGGTCTTAGATCCTTTTTCCCCTTGTTGGTAGCTGCTGAATGCATCTTCCACAACACCCGAAGTCTGGGCATCACACCTTTGACTCCGAGTTCTCGTTCTTTTCGGCCTACCAACCGCTTTTTGGGTCTGTACACCCCCTGAACCGGCGCACGAAGAAAGAACCAGCGACCTCCTCGTGGTGTTGGGACGCGGATCGCGGGCGTTGGAGCCCGGCCTACGAGGATCCGTTTGGGGTTTTGGATGAGCTCGACGGGTCGAGGGGTCTTCTTTCCGTTTGGGGGTCGCACCGTGTTTTGTTTGTTGGGGTCGAAATCAGCAAAAAACCGGGACTTTTGACAGGTCAAGCTCTTTTCACATCATCTCCTCACATCCCCTCTCCGCATCTCTTCTCTCCTCACGTCTCGTCTCGCCACCGGCCCGCGCGAAGAGCGCGTTCGTAGGCGGCGGCCAAGTACACGGACGGCCTGAACATCTTGCGGACCACCGTGGCCCAAGCCCCCGCACAGGCCACCGCGCTGGCGCAACCTGCGCGGGGTACTCTCTGGTGGCTTTTGGTTGGGGAGAATAGGGAGAAGTCAGAAGTCGACGGAGCGCACCAGAGGTGCAGAAGTCGTTGAAATTGGAACTCTGGGAGGTCCAGCAGCTCGTATGACGTGAACATGCGTTGGAAGGGAAAGCCGTTTGATTCAAGGACTCTTTGGGTATGCGGTACGTCCACGCTTCTCGTTGGGGGGGTGATACGACTAGCAGATTGGGTCTTAGTCAGAAGCTCACAAAGCTCTAATCTGAAGAGATGTCCGCAAAATTGGACTTTTGTGGGAAATAGCTTGAGTCTGCTGGCGTGCGTTAAGCAATGCAAATGAAAGGGAGCCAAAAGTGGCCATAACCAGGTTTCGGCATACTCACACCACTGTTCATCCCTCTTTCTTAGGTATTGCCCACCCTTGTAGTACCTCTTTAAGCACCCCAATATGATGTGACAGTTCCAAGACCAAAAGTGCTTCTCTCTGGCAACTTGCAGGCCTTTGGTGTCTCCATGGATTTCATGTATCGCTCGCCGAAGGCTGATCGAGCATACCGGAAATTGTAGAGGCTAACTTGGAAGTCGTCCCAAGAAGTTCTTCAGAGTTTGGTGGGTGAGAATTATTGGGTTGCTTTGAAAGTTCTGTCCATGACTGGTAAAACAGAAGAAAAACGTAGTTGATTTGTAACGATAGTCCTTTCAACATGTTGAGAGACTAGAAACGCAAATCCAGAAGTGGTGGCCCATGTGAAGTCTTCCAATCTTGTTTCGGCCCAGAAGGCTCTCGGCCGCACCCGCGTTTGCCCGGCTCGCTCGTACGGGAGCGAGCCGGAGCGACTCCGGCCCGGGCCTGACCCTCCGGAACTGACTCTCATGTGAGACCCGCACCAGGAGCTCTTTGATGGGCCTTTTACCATTAGAGGATACCCTTGCCAATAGGTACAAGCAATTAGGTAAATGGTATCAAACCGACCATCTATTCTTCCCGAAAGGACACCACTGCCAGGAGCTCTTTGAGGTGCCCATTGGCCTCACGCAGAAGAAGACGCCGGTGGAGCAGATCCAGGAGCGGCTCTCCCGAGCCACGGCCCACCGCCCGCGCGCGCTCACCGCGGACCTCCGCGAGAGTCGCCGCGCGGGCAAGGGATGAGGGAAAAGAAAAGGAGAAGTAGTTGAGTATAGTTGAGACATACTATACTCAACTTAAAAATGTATAAGGAGGTGGTGCGTACGTCCTGTCCAAATATACATGTTTGGCTAGATTTCTGACCCATTTTTGATACATGTTTGATATAATTGTATAATAGTGGAGACATGTTGAGAATATTTTTGGAGGCCGCAGTCGAGTTTGTGGTTCTTTTGGGATAGGCCGAGTCGGGGTCTGTCCTTCTACATCCTCGGAAAAGGTGAGAAGAACAGAACATGAGCTGGAAAAAGAGTCCCAACCAGACACATGATAATAGCACAGAATGGTTCTTCCAAGATGGCACCTGCTTGAGATTGTTTATCTTTAAACCCAAATGCTCATTGGGCCCTCATAGCCCTGAGATGATTTGACCCTCACAACCAGGGTTTTGGACCGGACAAACATGTAGCAGTTGGTTCGGGTCGATGAAGCCTTTGGGCTATAGATAGTGACGGTGGTTCATCCATCCACTTTCTTCACCCTGGGGGTTTTCGGGGTCCACCGTGCCAGCGGGTCCACACCAGTCGCGGCACTCGCAGTCGGGGAATTGATGAACATATCCTTAAATGGGCACGACCACGTACCAGATCGGCCAGATCCAGTGACCCAGTGAACAGTTTGTGTTCGTCCTGAATTGCCCATCGGTCTGCCAAAGGAATGCCAAGTTCAGGCATTGAATGCCCAAAAGGCCCAGTGCAGTAGCTCTTTTGCCAGGATGTCAACGTTCGTCTGACGTTTTGCCAAGCAGAAACGTGTCATCCTCCAACAGATCGAAGCCTTCTCCAGTAACCCTTTGGCTTCCACATCTTTTAGGAGACAAGAGCTTCGAAACGTCGGGTATTTCCAGAGACCACATGTGCGGAGGAAGACCTTTCAGACCAAAAAAAACCATTGCCACGTGACACCACGGAACTACTATTCCAGTGATTCCCAGACACGACTAATGGGACTGGCGTACTTACCTACTACATTGGGGTGGTGGTGCCAGGGGGGTCAATGTATAGGCATATATGGCAATCCCATGGAGCGTTTGGGATAGATTCCAACCAAACAGCACCGTTCTACACAGACTTTGCTTGGATCACCTATGACACCACAAAGGCTTTCGTACAAAAAAAGCTCAAAGGCTTTAGGGCACTTTACTCTCCAACCTAGAGATGGCGTCCAACCTATCGCCTCCTATCCTATTAGAGAAAGATGTAAGTTGAAATGGAAAGTGTGGGATGCCAAAAGGACACAGCCTTATGATGTCATACCGGATCCATATCCCAACTATAGCGCGATAAAAACATGAGGCTGCATGCGTCAATCGTGTGTGCTGCATCCTTTTTTTTTGCCTTGTCCATCCGCTTCCGCCCTGTTGTTGCTCTGGAGTCTTAACACTTTTGGTTGGAGACAAACGTAATTCACTTGGATCTTCTCACCTTTTACGGCCATCTTCTTCACCCCCTTCACACCCGGGGTACAACACCTCAAACGATCCTGGTTTTGAGCTAGAGCACCATTATAAACCCCTGGTTGACAGCTCAAGACTTATAAACCAACTATAAACACCAACCAAGGCATTACAGCACCATTCTAAGCCCCTATCAGGTTTTGTATGGCACCCCCTTCCGAACCTCATGGAGCTCAGCTCTGATGATTTCATGGTTAAGTCTGACAAAAAGCCTTGGTCCGTAATATCCAATCCGGGCCAATCAGTTCCATCCGCCGTAGCACCAGGTCCGCTTCCGACCCGTAGCACCTGCTTGGGCCGAAGCCAACCCGCACGTCCGGCCCCAGGAGGCGGCGCAGGTGCTCCATATGGCCGTCAAAGCGGCGGAGGCGTCGCCCGCGGGCTGAGCGTGGCCTCCGGGCCTACGGGAGGCGGTGGGCGTGGCGGTTTGGGCCACCGTGGTTTTGTGGCAGCATGGAGAAACCATGACTGATCCAAATTCAAGAGGTATGAAACCGCCTGCCTTTTGTAAGAGCAACGCTCTTGAACTCTGATTCCATGGGGAAGTGGGGGAAATACACTCTCCATCCACTACGTGGATGGAGACATGGAACTGAGTTCTGACCAAACAGGTGGTGAACTCACTCCACTTCCATGAAGTGCTTGTGGACTGAGGTTCATGAGGGTGAGTAACTCGGGGTCACTGTTGATTGGAGACGCCAATGGTTCTTCCGCCGGAGGTCTGATTCTGTTGATTCTGATGCGTCTTGCCCCCCCAGCATGGCCCAAGCAGAATGGTGTCTTTGGTCGTCAATCCTCCAGGCCTGAGGTTCCTCAACAGCCAACATGACGACCGGACATATCTGAAAAGCACCCATGGATGATGAGCGAGCTGTCTGAGATGTGATTCAAAAAAGACATCCATTACCGCCCATGGATACCCTGCAAACATCATTTGCAAACGACAATTGCATCCTGTGAATAGTACATTCAGGCTGGGTATCGCTCCAAGTCCAAGTCAGTTGCCACGTCCAGAGCTTGCAAGGGTTCATTGTTCCCTAGCTTAGCTCTTAATGACAAATCGACCGGATCACAAGGGGGGTAAATGGATCATTCTGACTCCCCCAGATCTTGAACAGATCCATTCTATCCTGGCCTATCAGATCTATGATGATACCATACAACTCACTGGAAGTGGATGGCATGGCCTTTGAGATGACGACGTTCCTCGTCACCAAACCAGACTGCTGCGGGTCCTCTTCCACTCCACCTGTCCGTCGGAAGTCCGTCCAGCGATCGCCGCGGTCGCGTCGCGTCGACCGACGGTGCCAGTCATGTTGATGTCTACTTGGGCTGCCGTCACTTAGGAGCTTCTCGATCACTTCATGTTGATGGCTTTGTTCCAGTTCCCAGATCCTTTTACACAGTGTTTTTTGATGTTTTTTGACACATCTTTGAGAGAGCTGATCAACCAACTATATAGTTAACCTGCCAAAAACCCACAAAGAAACACCCTCCCGCCTTCCGCCAGCCAGCCCCCCGCTTCCGGTTCCTCTCGCCTTCTCTCGCGCGGTTCCGGTTCCGACCCTCCTTCCGGTTCCTCTGGTTCTCGCATCTGAAGACACAGGTGGCGCTTCCGAAGCTGAAGACGCTCAACCTCTCCAACAACCAGCCGTTCCTTGGTCGACCTGTCCAGACCCACCGTCGGGGCCGCGGATGCACCCCGGGCGGTCTGAAAGGAGCGGAAAGGAGGGCGTACGTTTGTCGCGACGAAGCGGTCTTAGTGGTGTGTTTTTGTTCCTGGCAAAAGTCCGACCACCAAGTGGTTCTTGGTTTAGTTGTTGAATGGTCTTCAAGCAAAAGAGCCTCTTGCTTGAAGGATTGCTTGGCGCCCAAAGCCCTGGTGAATCAAGCTATGTAAAATGCTCCGAAGGCGAAAGGGGCTTCGATGCACCGAGTTACCGGCCTTTGCGTCGGACTGGTCGAGTCTGGATGAAACAGAGACCATCATGCAGAGACCCAAAACAACGTGGAAACAAAGACAGGGGGGAGCATGCTGGAACTTCCCAGTGTTCATTGTTGGCTGTTAGTGGTGTTTTGACCTGTTTTCTACGTGATAAAATGGATGTTCAATTAGTGTTGTTCCGTGAGTTGACCACTCGGCGTGTTCCGCCTCGCGCCCCGCACGAACCGCACGAACCGAAGTCCGGTCGACGACCGGTCCATTGGTGGGTTGTTGGGGTTCTTTGGATCGTTCAAGTGGGCGTAAGAGCTATTAACCCTGGGGCTCCTGGCCCACCTCCTGAGAAGATGGTTGGGGTTGGTTTTGGGGGTCTAACCACCGAACCTGAGGAGATGGTTGGAGCCCTAGGGCTAAGAAGAATTCCAGTGCGGTGCTTCCAACGAGAGAATCCGACACTTCCGACTGCTGAGGTGTAGCGTGGTCTGATTGCCGGGAGACTTTCCAATCCAGTTGACTTGAAGATCCATCGAACAACTCTGTGGTCTTCCAAATTGGTCTTGTACCACGCGTTGGACCAGTGCCTTGCGGGGATATATCTCTTCATGTTGGGCCGCTGCGGCTCCCGGGTCCGAACTCCTTTTTCGGGCGGGTCCGCCCTGCCCGAGCGACGCCGAGGACGGCGATTGGCACACGGGCCGTGGCCGATGCCTTGCACGTGAACGACGTGATGGCCCGCGGGCGGGTGGGGTTCTGGTCTACTGGCGGTGGGGGCTATAGGCGGTACGGTGTCCATTTTGGGGAGTGTGTTCCTTTTTTCTTCCTTAAACAGTGTGTCCACATGTTGTTGGGGGGGACCGAATCCGAGTTTTCGGGTGCCTGAAGATGTTTCAGGGGCATTTTTCGGGTCTGTCGTGGTTGCAGCGCTGTGTTTCTGAACCAAACTGGGCCCAATCGTCGACTGAAACCTCACCCGGCTGAGCCCGGCACAAGTGGAAGTCTGGTGGCTGGGTACGAAGGGTTGAAGGGAGGCTGGTGACCTGGGCCGACACACACCACACGCAACGCGGCGAAAAGCACGTGCCCAAAGAAGGGAGGTATGCCTTTGCAAGGAGGAGGCAGACGCGGCATGTCTTTTACCTACTGGAGCTTCTTGGAGGTGCTACACAGCAGCATGGGTTAACAGCATGAGTCCGTGGTTTGTTGTGGTTTCCCCCGGAATCCAACAACTTCTTCATACCTTTTTCGGGAGATGAAGCTCGCATTCAGCATGCCAAGCACTCGCTTCCGGGTTGCTCCGAGTAGATGGAACTGAACCTGTCAGGTGCTGTGGGGTGGTCGGGTGGTGCAAGGCCACACGCCTGGCCCATGTTAACTGCCACACGGCTGCCACGCTTCTTAGTGGTGTTCAGGTCACCCTTCGAAGAAGTGTGAACACTCATTCACATTATGACCTTTCTTTGCCCCCCTCCCTGAGCCAAAAACTCTCCTAAGTAGGACCTGGCGCGCCGTTGTTCCCTTCCCTCCCGCCCTTGCGTCGTTGCCTCTCACGTCCCCACGTCGTCTTTGCAGGAGCGGCTCCAACTGGACCGCTGCGATCATCGCGATCCGGACCACGGCTACGAGGGCTTGATCGGCTATCTCCCCGTGAACACCACCTTGAGGCCGGCGCGCGGGCGCGACACAGATCTGGTGACCTGTTTCAGGGATGGATTGAGGAGGTGAGCTGTCGTGGGTGGAGCCCCATGGTCGGTTGAAGGCCCCACAGTGTGTGTGCGTGAAATTCGAAGGGTTGCAGGAGGACGAAAGAGAAATGGTACAACGTTTTCAGCACCACCAGCTGGTGAAACGCCCGCATTGTCCCTGACTCGGTGCACTTCACACGATCGCCGTGTTTCTGGGACTTCACGTGTTTCACGAAGGAAACGCCCGGAGCTTCACCGGGTCGACCGACCCCGTGGAGCGATGGGATGGGATGGTGTGCCTTTTTGGGGGAAACACAGACAGACCTTTCACCAAGGGTCCCAAAAGGTATAGGGGATGGGTTATGGATGGGTCGGACCACATGGTAGGAGATCATCTGAACGGAGTCCATCCGTTCGAGCTTCGGATCTGAACGGGATCCATCTCTCCACCTCTCTTGGTGTGATTCAAGGTCATCCCCTCCAGACTTCACTCAGACTTCGTGCGAAAGGGATGAAGGTGCCAAGAGGCGGAGGGATGTCCGGTGAAAACGTCTTGGGACCTCCCTGGCACCGGTGCCAACGATCCAGGCACGTACCGTGCTTAAGGACACCTCTCGAGAGACCTTTCGTGTGTTTCATGTCTTGCGCAGTGACAAGTGCATCCTTCCCAGTTCACCTTTTGTAGACCTTCCACTACATGCATCGAGTGGTTCACCTCTTGCGCTGCTCCAAGCGCCAGAGAGAGTATTGATCCTGTGGATGTTGGTTTCGAGGTTCATGGGTCCTTAAATTAGGTGCTGTCAAAGTATGTTGGAAGAGAAGCTTTGACCAGTGCTGAAAACCATACCCACGGCCTCTTTCAAGTATATTGGAAGCTGCCAAAGGCTCTTGCAGGAAGTCGGAGCTACTTGGAAGACTGCAGCATTTGTGCTTATCAAGCATTCGGGTCCAGACATCATGAGCAGACATAGCAGGACATAGCAGGCACAGAGACAGACTCTCATCCAATAAAAAAGTAACCTGCATCAACCTGCATTTTCTTCCGGCAGACCTTTCAATGCCAACCCAAAAGCTCTGGGGCACCGTTTTTCCCTCCCAAACCCACGCCGATGAGCGCCCCAATCGACGACGAGAGGAGCCCAGTCGCCGTGTCCGAGATCCGCTGGTCCGTGGACGAAATCGGACCAAACGGGTCGGGACCGTTTCTTTTGAGACCGACACCGGGGCTATCCGTGTAATCCACCATCAAAAAGAGATACCACGCCTGGCTCTATCCTAAGCCTATATTCTATCCACCCCTAATATATATATATATATATATGTAAGTCTTTTATAGAAGTGAGTGGATGATCTTTTTGGCCGCCACCCCATGTTCAAAAGGTTTCATGTGTCACCCCGGGGCTTGGGCCAAGCGAAGGCTTCTTTTTTAAGGGGCCCCCCCCCTTTTCAACTCCAACTCCGGTGGAACACCACCCCGCGGCTTGGATCGACTGGTGTTCGCATCACCTGGTCCCAGACGTCTCAACTCAACCAGAAAGAGTGCCCGCGTGCGCGCCAGAGTAGAGATCCATGTATACGGAAATAGCTCAAAACTGGGGAGTTTCCTATCCCAAACGCTCCATGTATGGAATAAATGCCGATCAGTTGGGGTGATTTGGGGGGTCAACTGATCGGCATATATGGCATACATGGAGTGTCTGGGATCCATTTCTCTTCTGCTTGGGACATGTTGGGACGGGGTGTGGCACGGCGTTAGACGCCTGGGGAGGGTCTTCGGACCGGACGCCAGTGGTTTCAGAGGCGAGTTGTATGGCACGGACCCCCCTGGGAGGATCCTGAAAAGAGCTGAAAAAGATGGTTCAGAGCCTTTCAAGCACCGAACTTGTGGGCGCAGGTGTGTGCCATCGAGCCAGACGAATCAAATGAAAATCCGTCACATTGGATGGAGGAACTGGGTGCCCAACTCCTTCCTTCCCTCCATGTGACTGGAAAGCAAAACTTCAAGACTGAAAATCCATTTTAGCTCGTTTAGAATTCTTCACAAACCGTGTGAACCCACGACCATACAAACGAAACGCTTTGGAGCCCCGCTGCGGCGACCTCTGACTGTTGACCGTGACGACGCTCGACGCGCGAAGAGAACGACGCGCTCGGGTGCAGGAGCTCTGGATCTTCGCCGGAGAGCGGTCCCGGTCGGTCTCCGAGGAAGCTGGGTGGATGGGAGCTCGGTTTTTTTTTGGCCAAACAAATGCACCGCGTGTGGTGGAAAAAGCTCGTGTATGATGGCATGTTTTCGACGGCTGGGGTCAGGTACGAGCGTAGTCACCTATATAGTGGAGGTGACTCTTATGGGACGTAGGAACGCAGGTATGCGACCTTCCGTTGGATTTATCATATGGATGTCTATGTTTCTCGGGAGAGAGAGGGGAGTGAAGTCGAAACTCGCATGTGGTTGTGAGTCAAAGCCTCCCCAAACGATGTGTCTGATGGTTAAATCCCTTGCAGAGGAGTTTGATCCCATTCACGTTCTGTTCCACTATTAAAAGAATGGAACAACCTGGTGTAGTGTGAACATCTTTAGTAAAGCCCTGGTTCTTTGATGTTGACTATTTAACGGTCAACCAGGGTGCCTCACTTTTGACCCTGAGCCATGTGAGCTACGTACTTGATAGGGTAACACCGTGTGAAAGTGGATCATGTTGGCGGTGTTCATCCACCACATGGATTTTCCTCTCTCGAAGCCTATTTTGAAGGGACAAAGTGCCTTTTTCATGAATGACCAATTTTCATCATCATGTCACAAGTGTTTTCTTCCCATAGAAGAATATGATGGGAATATCTTGGGGATGATCAGACCCTGGCCATGACCCGTAATAGTCCGTAAATCCGAATATCACTTTTCTAGAGAAAGGATTGCAACTGAAGCATGCAGAAATCCACTGTAAGGGGATAGACCCGAGCTATGGTATCACTTCATTCTGTCTCAGTCAAGACTGGACCGACCTTTGTTTCTGGCCGACCCAGTGGTTGGGTCAATTTCCGGTATACGAGGCGTCGTGCTGCTTCGGACGAGAGAATCGTCGTGCTTCACCGTTCGTTCGTCACCGTTCGCGTTCACGCGTTAATCACTTCGATCGAGACGGAAGCCGTTCCGTGGTTCCGAGCTTTGCCCACCAGCACTGACTAGCTTCTTGTTACTACTAGTAAGGCACTTGTTACTAGTAGCGATGCACTTGTTACTAGTAGCGATGGGAGCCCCCTGGCTTTGCCCAAAAGTCGCCGTTTTTGGACTTCGAACAATCGCTTCCTTGGGAGCTTCCCATCAAGAACTGGGTGTTGTTTGGGACCATGAGACAGAGGGAAGAAAGACCGATTTCGCATGCTTTCACTTTGTAACTTCCACCCTCCCTGCTCAAGCGGCCACCTCTTTCATTTGGGATAGCTATACTTCCTAACTGTACATTCCTCGGGGACGAGGCGTGTGCACGGCGTGTGGCGTGGGTTGTTCCACGCAGAACTGCCACGGCGTGAGGACCTCAGTGGAGCGCCGCGAGGGCCACGCCATCGAAGCTCACGCTGCTTGGGCGACCAACCCAGCGTGTTGGGTCGGCATCGTCTGTGCCGAGCGTCACCTGAAGGCACTCTCCGTGCGAAAGACTCTCCATAGCAAGGCAGGTCCTCATCAAGCGCTGGGTAACTTGTGCAAGCCGTCCCGGACGCGGCTCCCGCGGGGAGAGAGCGAAGGGGAGACGAGCCGATGGAGCCGTGCGTTCCGGGGTCGTGGGCTTCAGAACCCAGTGGTGAGACCGCTCCCAGAAACTCCTGCGTTGTTTGAACCGAGTGAATGAGGGCTCGGTGCACGAAGCGCCGCACGTCGCATCCAGTCGCCTTGACGATCGGACGGTGCTTTCTGGCGTGGTCCCTGCACGCACATGTACCAAGGGGTTGAGCTCAGCTGGGTCATCTCCGGTTTTTCCTAGCAAAACTTGGGACATGTCTCATCTCACAGAGCAACATGAGTCCTGATCCTCATCCTCTGATCCTATTTTGTCTCACTGAGGTCATCGATGACTTTGAGTCGATTGATCTGGAGGAAGAGGTCCCTGATGAGGACTCCATCCCAACGCCGCAAGCCGCGCCGCAAGCACCCACGGATGCATCCAAGGCGGGGACCGACATCGGCCAGTTGGAGTGGATAAGTTTAGGGGATCCCAGTTACCACATACACATCCATCAAACCAGCCAGGGTAGGCAGAAATGTTGCATAAGTTGGAAGATCTAGGAACTAGCAACAGCACATAGTATGGTACAAGGAACTAAGTATCAGGTTTTTAGGATCTCTCGGTGTGTGGAATCTGAGGTTCCCCCCTTTGCTACCCGAGCCTTCAGTTCATTCAAAGAGTTCAGAAGAATCTGGTGTGGTCGAACATCCGAACAGTAACAAGTTACAAGTCGTTCAACTTGAATGTCATTTGACCAGTTCACCGAACTTGCAAGAGTTTTCAGCCAACAGTACCAGTTCCTTGAGTTCAGTTTCTCAACATCCTTTGTATATGTTACCCAAGCAACATCCTAATCCTCCTCCGCGGCGCCAGGAACGACTGGCCCGCCTGGTCGCCATCATCGAGCGCATGCAGCCGACCCGCATGGAGATTCTCCGCTCAGTGCCGATGCATCGCATGGTGCAATGCTTCGGGCAGGTCTTTTGGGCTTCAGCAGAGCGAGAGTTCTTCCACCTGAGCCAGGTGACGGAGTTCTATGATGAGTTTCTCAGTCATAGCTGGCAAGTGGAAAGTTGGAAGAAGGTCTTGCTCTTGATCACACTCAAAAACGGTGCTCCTGCCTGTGTGATGGGAACTTTGGGCGCCGCGATCATGATGGTACTTTTTCAGCTGGACTTCTTGCCTGGCTTTAAAAAGTCGCACTTGCACTTCCAATGGTCCTTTTGGTCCTCTGCCGTGGGGATCGTTCTGGCACTG